TTTTGAATTTGATGACAATTACGGCAAACGTCTTAAAGTCGTATGTATGCGATTATGTGCTAATATTTAATAGCGACTTCTGGCTCTGTTAAAGACAGCTCTTTTTTGTGTCACGACTTGCTTTCAAGCAACGCACAAATTAGTTGATGGCGGAGCTTAGGCTACATAGCACAAAAATTTTGGAATACTTTTAATAGAACGAAGTTTACAAAGAATGCGGTAGGAGGAGGTGGACCGTCGCAGTTTAAATACGTTCAAGAAGAATAATATAAACGCCAGGTCCATATTTTGTGAAGACCTCGAATGAGCCTCAGAAGTTGCGGGACTGAGAAAACACCCTTTTTAAAAGTCTTCAATCTATCAGTTTCCTGGAAAATCCAGGAAGAGCGCACAATGAAAGCAGTCTTGAAACATTAGGAAACTTTTCTGTCAGGCGAAAGTAGGCTGTCAGATCCTTTAAACTTCCGAACTTTGCGCGTGCGAACCTAGTCTCAGCTTCTATATAGAACTGCTTTCGGAATTTATATACGAATTACTGCATATGTAACTGAGTGGCATGAGCAAAAGTCTAACCCTGACATACGCACATATGTACATACATAAATATTTAGCCAAATCTTATAATTAAGTAATGAAATTACTTTCAAATAATAACTAAGGAATAATGTCTGAAGTATTTTATGACCCATGACCCCCTAGCGTTCTTATTTATTATGACTAGATGTACGAAAATGTCATTAAAATTTATTAATGTTTGTAACATTAAGACAAATGTCTTAAATCCACATATTAATCCAAATTTTGTCTACATCACTTCCAAATTAAAGCACCTCAAATTGATAAATAAAAAAGAGCGAGCGACTAATAAACACATCCACTCCAATAATGGTGTCTGGGCTCATTAATTCAACAACACCAGTCGCCCAGCCGCCCAGCCGCCACCCGCCACCCAGCCAGATATTGAATTACCTCCATGTGTATGTATGTACATATGTAGTGATGTTTATATTATTTTATGCTCAGACAACCACATAATGTGTAACATCCAAAACATTTATCAAATTTATATTCTCATTGAGGGCACTGCACAATCCTGCTACACTTTGTTTTTGCTGCCACACACACGTACTCGGCCATATGGATGTATGTTAATATTTCTTTTTGTTTTACATGTCAGTGGTATTTTTATATTTGTATCACGCAATTTTATGGCCAGAATGTGCTAAATGCCTGACGTTTATGTAAATGTTAAAATTGTGGATTGTTTGTGTATGGCGTGCAAGAGCAGAAAAAAAAAATCGACAGGAGTGAAAAATTGGGAGCACGAAAGGCCATTGTATGCATACATTTATTTTGGAACTGATTTATATCAGGATAATATGTTAATAAGTGAGAATATTTTAATATTACTAGTTTTGGTAGTCGAAGGTTTCGTTTTTCGTAAATTTAAGACACACTTATTAAATTATACAAACTATAGTTCTACCAATTGTTGTGAGTAGTTGTGAACTCCCTTTTTTTTGGGTGCTTAACCCTAAACGCGAAAAAACGCCTATCTTACCGTCGAGTTTCGAGCCATCTGTGTAAAGGACATCTACTACATAGATGTAAATACTATCGGGTGCAGTGTTAATGTCTTCTTTCCTCTCCTCCCTGCTTGGCATTCTTTTTTAAAATCGAAAGTACTAAATCTCTACTAAAATTTCAAATAGCAAAATAATGCTTACAAATCTCGTTAAGATTCATCTCAAACTTTATTAAAATTTTTCACACAATTCGCATAACACGCACTTTAAAATTCACAAGAAATAGCTAAAAAAAATAAAAAAAAAATAAAGCTGATGTGTTTGAAATGATTTTTACCGAATATAATGAGCTGGCCTAATACATTTGGCAAAACTTAAATGCATTTACAGAATTTTTAGAGTACTTTTAATATGGCTACAGCAAAAAATTATTCATTTTGTCTTTACCGAAATTTGAATTTCGAACAAAGTCATCCTGTAAAAATATTTTGTTACTTGTTTTCGACGATTTTTCATTAGACCAAAACAAAAAAAAATCTGTTTTTTGGTAAATTATTTTTTATTAAATATAACAAAGTTTTAAAAAATCTTTCTTCGTTCTAATTTAAGCTAAAATAAAAATAATATCGTCCATACATACTTATCATAACTACTCTCTTCTTTGGTTAGCCGCGGCGTATGAGTAACTTCTTTTTTTGGTTCTTTACGTGAGCGTTCTAAGCCGGACTTCGGAGCAAAGGTTTTTTTTCATCGCTCCGCTAACGTATTTTATTTCGCTCCGAGCTCCTATTCCCGCTCCCAATAAATTTTTTTATTATTATTTAATTACATATGAGCTCTAACCGCCAAAAAAACGTAAGCAGATTTTATTTTATTTTATTTTTTTGATGCAGAAATACATCTAGACCTCTTCTGCATTCAAAAAAAAAAAAAAATGAAGAACATTGCCAACTTAATTGAATAGAATGAAAATTTATTTAACACGGCTCTTTTCAGTGGCAAAAAATTTATAATTTAAGTAAATTCATTAACTAAAATTTTTTTTTAAATTTTTGTGTAAAAACGACAATAAAAATATTTCAAAATAAATCGTTACTAGGCCAGAAAATAACAAAAACAAAATATTGAATATTTTTTTTAACGAGCTAAGGGGAGCAAATTAATTTTTTTAACACTTTGCTCCAGCTCCGTTGCAGCTAAAATCCTTTGATCCTTTGCTCCGCTCCGCTTCGCAGTTCTGGTTCTAATTAAATAAGATGACCGTACAATTTTTTGAAATGCATATTACATTAGTTAACAAAAACTCTACAAGTAAAAAATACTTAAGTCGAAATAAATTTAATAAAATTAAATTGTAAACAAATATATCTGAAAAAAAGTTTACACTAAATCTTAAATACCTAATAACTAAATCTAGTTTATATTTATAATTATAGTTTATTTATATATATCTTATGGAAGCCTTACACTACTCCGCTAAACTTATTTATTTATGTAAGTAGATATGCTTACAATCGATTTTTAAGCGTTTGGCTTACTTATGCTACATTTGGTAGTTAATCGTACTAACCAATCAAATTGAACTGTTTTGTGTGCGTCCAACATGTCTGACATTTGATGTACGTTGCAACTTAGAGAAATTACACGCTTAATATATGTAATACATATACGACTTATAACTTATATGACAGCCTAAAAGTATGCTTTTAAATTACAGCGTGCTGATTACGACTACTTAAATGATATTGGCGAGTATGTTTTTTTTTTTAATTATTTCTATGAATTTGTGCGCATAAACTCGGCACTTTCCCACAGTCATGCATATAGAATAGCCTTCTTAAAGTATTGTAACTAATAACGAAAGAAATGACTAGCTCGAATACCTGTACAACTTTTATGCTAGTCTTAAAAATTTACATCAATTCTTATGAAAATAATTTCGATATTTAAGTTAGACCGATGTCTCGTAAATGACAATTTTCAAAACTTTTGGTTTATTTTCTTGCGCTTCCTTAACTTCCTTGAGTAATGCGTTGGTAATCGCTTCTAATGCGGCGATATCGGAGTTGGGATCCTTCTTCCCGCCAGTATTCCATTTGGGCATTGAAACCTTTTTTTGTTGTGAAAGAGAAAAAAATTGATGCTTTAGTAGGCTGTGAAATACAATATTAGAAATAAAAAAGAAGCACTAAACTAAATCTACCAAATACTAACTCGCGTAAGCACTAAAGTTTTGATGTGATTTGGTAAAATAAGCGAAGACTGAAGCAACGATTTTCAGATTTATTTTACATGCACTTACTCTCCAAAGGCAAACAATTTACTTTTCTAGCGCCGAAATTCGTGAAGCCGCATAAAATGGAATGAAAAACTTCTACCTACAACTTCTTCGTTTACTAATTGATGTACAAAGTTTATGAGGATGGTTTGGCATACCGATCTTTATCAGTTTATGAAGGAAAGAAATAATGTTTTATAAAGAAACGCAGGAGGCATTTTACCGGATGGCGCCAGTATCCTTACGGTCATTATGGCCAAAATATAAATAATTTATTTGACATGCTTCTAACTATACATGATTAATGAATTGAAAAAATAAGTTGATACTTTTAAATTATTTCTTTTGAATGTTCAAGCCACGAGCAACGTCCGCGGTATCTGCGATATCTAAACATTTTATGTAAATAAATAAAACCGAATACGACTTGAAGCAGACCTCTGTAGCAACAGCATCCGTACGCGTGCGTTTGACATTTTGCTCATATTTATTTATATTTTTTTGTCTTTATATTGTTGCTGCCATGATAAAAAAAATATTTGATAGTTTCACTAAAAGATTTTGGTCTTCATGTTTACCATCCGGCTTTTGCTGGCATTATGACATCTTCATCAAATTGAAGCTACCAGCTATAACAAATTAATTATTTTTTAACTGCCTTTTAAAAATGTTTAAATTTTGAGCCGACCTTCAGGTATTGGGATTGTCTGAAAAGACTAAGACCAATAAAAAATAATAGAAAATACCGCCCCGAAATACCACCATTTATATTTTATTCTTACTAATGTGGTAACGCAGCTGGTAATTTGTACAATTTTGGAAATTTCAAAAAATACCTGTATCCGCCAAAATACATTTAAGCCAAACTACCTTGTATTTTTTTACTATGGTTGTTGCCATTTCTACATATATTTAACTTTTCTGTCAAACGCACGCTTAAGCAGATCTACCTTTCGCTGAACAAAACCCATTTACTAGCTGTTAATCAACTCTTAATATATTTTGCCGATGATATGGAGCTCTAAATAAGCATGCCGAATTATTTACAAAATTTTTTGAACTAAAATATTTTCAAAAGCTTACGGGTAGTAATTTCTTTAATTTTACATCATCAACAGAACGCTGAAGAGTTTCAAAATAAATAAATAAATAAATAGAAATCCAAAATATTTTATTAGTAGAAAAAGCAACATTATGGTAAAGAGAAATTCTAAAAAATATATATTCCATTAATTAAAATTGCATGAATTAATGTCAGACACTTTATACTAAAAATTTTAATAAAAAAAGGAAGCATATTTATTTGATACCTTAAAGTTGTAAGACGTCTTCACAAAGAGCTAAATTTATTTTATTTTCCTTACATTTAAACACATTGCCTTGTTTGCTAGAGCTAATCATCCCTGCGAGCGATTGGAAGAGAACTTTAAGGCAACAGATGGTAGCTTATTTAAAAAAAAAAAACATAAACATACCTATCGGTTTTCTATAATCGCAACAATTGTGCGGGAAAATTTTTACTTTTAGAAGTATCGAAAACCAACAAAGCAAATTTAGAAAGTTGATTTTGCTGATTTCTCTAATATGATGTTTTGGAGAAGATAATACATAGGAGCAGCGGAATTGAACCGCTTAGTTATAATTTTTTTTTTAAAGAGCTTAAAGTTTGGATCTGTAGCGAACTTTCAGTGTGCTTATTACCTTGTTTATACCTACAAAAAAAAAAGCAAGAAAAGTTTGGACACCTTTGGTGTTTTTTCGACTCTATCAAAGAAGTCCTGTTCTGGAACCTTTTTCCAAATAATTTTTTGTTTTGAGATAACATGCTTCTTAGTGAGCATATTTTGCCTGGTGCATATTTCCACCCAGTAGGACCTAGGTTTTATCGCTAGTCCGTCCCTCAGCAATTATATCAAACCTCTGAGTGTATTTCTGCTCTGAAAAAGCTTCTCATAATAAACTATCTGCCTCTCGGTATTTTACTTAAGGTACTCACTTCTTTGTTTACAGAAAAAAAGTTTTGCACAGGTATGAAAGTTTAGACACAATTTTTTTCATATAATGGGTAGTTGTCGAGTTATGGGCTTCTAAAGTAAAGTAAAAAGGATTTTTTTTAAGTTTTTTATACTGAAATTGAAAAGAATTTCAAAAAAATATGGAACTTCGCGTCGTGCATAGAAAATTCTCGCACTTTTTAAAAACAAAATCAAACAAAATTTTTTTTTGTATACAACATCGGAAGTAAACAAACAAACAAAACCAAATTTATAAACTTCGCAAACTTTTATTTTATTTGTTTTATAATATAGCCATAGACATTATAATACCCTAGAAATTTTAGAGTGGCACAAAAATTACCCAAAGGTCTCATATTGGTTTTACAAATTTGCAATATGCGAATAATCTTTTCCCTTTTCCCAACCAACAAGCTATTTTATTTGCTTTGCATATTTTACACGGCTGTTGAAAAGCACATATTAAAATTTATTGAAAATATTGTAATTTCACAAACGATTTTAGCTATTAAACTTTTTTTTTGAGAAAGTAATAAAACTATTTACACTATTAGAAGTTTCGAACCCACGCACACACGCACACACGTGCTCACATACATACATACCGTCAACACTTTTTGCAATGCCATGTAGTCCAATCCATAGCCAGCAGTTTCGCCCAGTCGCCGTAAAGTCTCGGCCATCGGTCCGGAAAGTTCCTATAAACAAAAACGAAAACGAGTCAAATAAAAAAAAAAAAACAAAGCGCACACATAAACAAAAACAATAGCAAAGCCAAACAAAGACGAAAAATTGATGAAAAAGTTTTGTAATTGATTTAGCGCACCGCGCGTAGAGAATTTATTGCTCGACAGCTAATAATGTCCGCTGCACAGCATGCAACGGCACTTACTTGCAGCTTCGCCCAACTGGTGGCATATTGCCGGCGCACCAACTCGATAATGGTGGAAGTCAACGCCAGACCGATGAGAATGTACAAAGTGCAGAGTAGCATGTAATTTGGTTTTTCTGCAAAAAAAAAATGAAAGAAAAAAAAAACAAGCGAAAAGAAAATGAAAATAATGGAAAGTGTTTAAAATTGTTGCATTTGGTGACAAATTTCAATACTAAATAAAAGACAATTGTTGGCTCTACACATACTCGGCACCAGATCACCAAAACCGATGGTTGTCATTGTGATGAAGCAAAAATAGAAACCATCAAAGAACGTCCAGTCATCTTCCCACAGCAGCAGCAGCCAGGCGCCCGCAGCCAAATAGACGCCCAAAAAGCAAACCGCCAAAATGGCATAAAACCACGTTTTGCCGATGAAATTCGTAAAGTTCGGTACTTCTATAAAAGCGGAAGAGAAATAAAAATGAAAAACTATGTAGAGCATAAATCGAGTAGGAGCAGTGATGCATACTTGAGAGGTATGCGCTCGACGTGAAAATAGGAAAATATTTGTAGTCTAAATATGTACACTTACTCGGCATATATTTGCCCAACACTGAGACGGCTGTCGCAAAGAGGCGACCCCAATCGGCGATGACGGTGAGCGTAAATGGAATGCCGATTAGAGCGAAGCAGATGCAGAAAACACGTCCGCCCGTCGTTACGGGTACTATGTTGCCATAACCTAAAAAAAAAGCCATTTACATGCGCCAATGGCAGCAAGAAGGAGCGCATATCCCATAGCGCAGCATGAAGTGGTTGAAAAGGATGCGCATGGAGTGGAATGAAGGCATGAAAAAGGATGGAAAGTAAAAGTTTTTGTTAAACAACAAAATTTTCACTGTTTTTAGTAGCAAAAAAAAAAAACAAGACATACATACATATGTAGTATGTGCATAAGCTCGTTGTTGTTTATTTATTCGCGTTTTTGTTTACTTTGAAGCTGCATTACGTACGTACATTAGGATGCATCACGCTTCATATGAAAAAAAATTGGTACTGTTTTTCCAAAGCAATTGTACAATTTATTATATCTTAAGACTGCGGTAAAAATATCTGCGAAAATAAATAGATTTTCGTGAACTGGACTGTTTTAAAAACGCCTTGGGAATTGGGTTTTTTTTAATAAAATGCATTTTTTTCCAAAACTCACATCAGATGATGGCAAAGTTTAAGCTTAAGAGCTTAAAAATGTTCAAAAGTTGTATGAATGAAATCAAAATAATAAGATTTTAGAAGGCATTTTTAAATTATTCCAGCTCACGTAAATCTAAATATTTTAGGGGAAGTCTTAAATAAAAAATTAAAATATTTTTTTTAATTCCGGTGAAAAAACCGCAACCTCTTTTTGGTGAGGCACCGTAACGTATATTCATAAATTTCGGTACACTAAAATATTTACTATGTATACATACATATGTACATATATTACTCCCACATGAATTTGCTTTCATAATAACTATGGCAACGGAGTACTGGTGCTCTTGCATCTACCTACATATGTATGTATATATGTATGTGTTTAAGTGAATCTGTTGCTCTGGTTCTTACCTATTGTAGTTAACACAGTCGATGAGAAGAACACAGCTTGTAAAATGCTCCAGCGCTCATAAGGCTCTGGAAAGTCTTTATCGGCCTCAATGAGAAGACCACCCTCAGCGGCTTCCTGTACAGCCTGTGGATAATAATGAGATGAAAGTGTTAGTAGATACGTATGTATGTAGGTGAGTGCATACACACATATGCACATATTTATTTATAAATGTATGTAAATGTGTGCTTTCATATGATAATTATTATATGAGGATAAGTGCTAATATATGTTATTGGATAGCAAGCGGCGCACAGTAAGAGATTTTGCCAATCTTAGATGTCAAAATCCAATGTTAGCCAAAGTTCAACTTCAAATTTAGCATGATTTTTAAGAAGACTAGTTGGAGACAATTTTTTCCGGAGTAAAACCAAAAAATTTGTATGAAATATATTGGGCAAGTTCGAAGGAAATATCATGGCGATTTTGAAAATAAATTAAAAGGTATAGGTTAATAGGACATTTTTTATACCGAAATGGCCGCCAAAGTAAAACAAGGGTCTACAATTCTTGAAAATTTGACTTTTACAGCCCAGATTTCGCTAAAAACTAAAAAACCACCCAAAAAGTATTTTTTTCTAAGAAGCTGATTAAATTAGCTAAAAAAACTCCATAGGTAGTTTTACATTAGGGGTTTCCGTTTAGGCGCGAGAATTTTTTTTATAACCACAGCCGATTATCTTCTTAACTCTATAACTCCCCAAGGTTGCATTTTAGATCCCACTTCCCATACAAATTTTTGTTGTCTAGACTTCCCCTATCACCTCCCAAAAGAAAAGCACTTATCACTGGAACACCCTGTATACACTGAGTCTCTTTTGGAATACTTCGAATTTAGCCCCTTTTTACACTATTTGGAACAGCTTCTCTATAACCATGTTGCCATATATCACTTAAGTTAAAAAAAAATTGCTTTTGGTCAAAAAATGAGCAAGATTTTATTTTTTAAGTCAGTTCTATGAGTATTCATCCTGTATGCTTTGTCATAACCGAACTATGCCGAACTTGTAAGTCATAGACTATGAAAGTTTGAAGATTTTTGAAATTTGTCTTACCTTTTAGCTGAAATAAAGTAGAAGTTACGCTTAACTCTATTGATGCCTGGAGCGCCGAAAGAGGGTCTCTTCAAGGGAAAGATGTACTTGAGAACTTGCGCCACAACGTAGGATTTGTCACGTTAAAGAGTACTTTCGTTATACATATGTCATGTACTTATTGGGTATGCAGGTATGCCCGGATTACACAAACCTCGAAGTGTGAAGAACTGTTGGTTTTATAAAGGTTTTATAAGTCTATACTCTTAGACTGTGCTCTTAAAAGGATCTTATAAGGCTCTCCTTCTCAATTGTGTATTCTTTATAGGGGAAGGTAGATGGGCTATACACCCGGTAACGCTAGTGTTCGAGAAAGTCACATTCAACTTAACTTAACCTAAACGATGGTGAATGCCTGCCGCGAAGTATTTTACCCGTAGAACAAAATAAGCTTTCCATAATCTTTAGTTTCTACACTTTAAAATATTTAATAGGTATGGTGAATGCACTCGCCTCAACAAGGTAAATGACCGGGATGAGCACTACACAAAAAAAAAAAACAAAAAAAAAAAAAAAAAAAGGGGTAAATTTTTTTCCACTGTTAAATTTGAATTTTTTAAATTTATTTTATAATAAAAAAAAAAAAAAAAAATTTGAAGTTATTATTTAATTTCTCAGAAACTATCAGGCCTATTGAAGGGTGTTGTATATACGGTTTGTGCCTTTCATCTAACGTATTACGATTGTTTAATTGGTTCGTAAGATATACGTGATTAAGTGGAACCACTCTTTTTTTAAGCTGGATAACGGTAAATTGCAAATATCTCGAAAATATATCCATAATAAAAAAATTAATTCGATATTCGGAATCACCGAGCAATTCTACATAGGAATTGGATAGTGGCGTCTGGAGAACAAAAACAAAACCAAAATTTGTGATCCAGTGTAATTTCCCCCAGAACTTTTTTTTTCCTTTCCAAGCACCTTAGAACTATTACTCAGAACAGCTTTTTTTGTGCTTTTGCGGCATTCCGTATGCCAACTTCACAGACATCCAGCTAACGCACTGATACTTTTTAGAATCAATTAATTTTTCAAACCTTTTAGTTTTTGATAAGCTTAAGTGTGTACCATTAAATTAAGGTTTATAATCAAAATTCCACTTACCACCTCATAATTTGCTAATTCTTTCGCTATTAGTACATCTAAATTTAAAACATCTGTATTATTTAATATGGTAGTGATGAATTTTTCACGGTGTGTCTTCACAACACCCTTCAAGTACTGCAAGCGTTCCAATTCCGCCGGACGTTCTAGCTGACGGAAGACCTGAAAATGTGAAAAAGAAAACAAAAAAATATTACACTTCAGTGCTTATACAAAAAGAAAATTAAATAAAAATGAAAGTTGTAAATTCTAAATATTTTCTTACATTTAATTACTTTTGTATGCACATAAAATAAAATAGTAAAAACAAAAATATGTAAATATGTACAAACGCAAAGCTATTCTTAAGGCATCATCGTTCGTTCATATACTCATACTTCATCCTATGGCATTTACCTTGCGGTCTGTTGTTTATCTTTATTTGCTTACAGACAGCTTGTTTATCCAAAGTAGACAGCTGATTACTGCAAGGCAGGCGGTTAACGCTTTTGCATAGCAAAGAGAAGAGTCTATTTTGTATCTGAATGGTTTCGCGCGAATTTGATGGATTACTCGGCTGTTGTAAGAAAATCAAAATCTACGCCACTTTGGTCAACATCAAGGCATGAGTGACGTGTTCTTTGTGCGCTAAATTTTCTGCATGAAGTTATGAAATTATTTACACGTTCACACATACAAAATGACGCATCAAATATTTGTCTTTTAAATTATTTAATGCACTTTCTGCTCAAGTGAACAATTATGCGCTTTAGAAAGTGTACTAAAGAACTTAACTCATATTTCTTAGAAAAATAAACGATTCCATTGAGGCTGTGGATCGGTATTGAGAAAGCTAAAATAATACAAAGTTTGAACCTCATAATGCCTTTAGATTGAGTTGGGGCACGAATATGTAGGGAGACTACTTTCACTCGGGGGCATGGTCAATTGTGTGTGCCCTCTGCGAGTGCGCCTGGAGGAGGCACATCACAGCCTTAATACAGTGTTTTCATAAGGTAGCTACATATAAATATCTCCTGAGTCACTTCGTTTCCCGGATGAATATGAAGAGGTGCAAGAGTCCCTGCTTGGCTATCTCTGCACGGCCAGAGAAAAAGCGTGGCCTGGCACAGGAAGTCGCAACTAGATTTCTTCTCGTCTTCATCTTGGTAGTTTTCTCAAAGAGAACTCTATCGTATACGCGAACGTCGGAGTTTGGTTCAACAATGCGATACCCTTTAGTTCAGTTTCAGAAGGTCGAGTCCGGTTTATAGGTAGGCCGTTTGTGACGGTATATTTGTCAATTTTACTCACATGAATAGAATTATAAATTCTATTACATTTTAAGACTTTCGTCGATTTTTTTTTTGGAAAATATAGAGATTCTTATGAAAATGCAATCGCTATTCGGAATTGGTGTAAAACTGTAGCTCTTTCCCCGTTGTGTAAAAACATCAAGGCGCAAATCGGTCTAGCTCACGTAAATCTCAAAATTCTACCGAAATATTTTGGCGGAACTCTTAAAATATAATAAATTGTATAATGCCGATGGAAAAATAAATCCGCGATATTTTTGTATTGAGAGTATATATGTTTTTATGTTACATATTTGTGTGTTTGATGATTTGTGTTAATAGGTTTGTACACGTTTCAGGCAGTAATTTTGCACATAATTCTCATTATTTTACGACATTACAATTCAATTTTTTACTTTTTGACTGAAAACGATTATTATGATGTTAAATACGAAATGTAGAACAGACTCATTACCTCAAAGTCAGTCCTGCGGTACAACTATAAAATAAAAAAAATATATGTTATGCTTGAAGTTGGCGGATATTTGTTTACCCTAGCATACTAGTATACTACACTTAACATAATGCTTGATATATTTACATACTATATATTTTAAAGTAAAGTCCAAGTTGAATAAAAAAAAAACATAAACTTTTCGGAACATATTATAAATGTTTACAAATATAAAAAAATTTCAAAATGTGTGAAGCAAAACCGTAGGATTTCGACGCCAATATGAATTCAACGCTTTGACGATCGATGGATTTGTATAGCTGCATTTGCATCTAATCATAAAGAGGAAAATGTGTGAATGAGATATGGATGCCAGTGTGTATGTTTTCGCAGAGAGGTACAATATACTTTTTATAACTTTTTGTATCTTCACTTTTTAACATAGAATATTCGATAACGTTAATTAAAATTTTATTGCCAACAAATCCTCTACCAACTACATACACGTGTTCTCACGCCTGCAGCTACATATTTGATATGTATGTATGTATTTATGTTCACAACTGCCCAAGTACCTAAATTCAATAGAAATCATAGTTCTTCCAAATGTTTATTCAATTAATTTGTTAATTGAATGTAAAAACCAAAATTCATTAACATCGAACTCATTACTTTTGCTCTTGGTTTATTTTAAATAATTGCGTACATACAAAAAATTCACTAAAATTTTATGATCTTACTGATTTAGAAGCAAGCTACTTCAAAATCAAAGATGAAATGAAAATAAACAACAAGTCATTATCGAATTAATTTCTTATTAAAAGGCAAACTTTACGAACAAAACGAGCATCTTTTCGCAAATTTTGCGGCCAGCTAATCATCAATTTGGATTGAACTGTGTGGTGTGTATGTGGAGCGTACGCGCTTTTGAAATATTCAAGCAATTTTTAATAAAGGGCTGTTCGAACGCTGTAGGCCATGATGCCAGCGGGTGGCATATCCGCTATCAACTCGAATTCATGATATTCATGATATATTCTAGAAATGTGATAATAAGGTAATAATCATATTTTTGACATTTTGATAAACCAACCTAACTCGAGTTAGGCCATTTTCTATTTTAAGCAATATTTCAATGGCTTCCCACACAATATTTCATTGCCTTTTTGATCGACTTCAAAAAAGGAGAAGATTATCAATTTGTCGGAATAATTTTTTATGTATGTTGCCGCATAACTTTGCACCACGTCAATCGATTTGGTAACGTGAACCTTTGGATCATGAAGAAATTAACGGTACTTATAAATTTTTATATGAGAAGTGAAGTCGGTTGTGTTTTTTGATAAAAAAATTACTTGTTAATGAAAGCTTTATAAAACTAAAAAAATGTTTGAATAAAAACTTTTACTTTTTCTTTAAAAGTCAAACCTTTCAAAGCCGCTTAAGATGTTTTACCAAAATGCCACAGATATGAAAATATTTTTTCAATGAAAAATTTCTTTCATTTTACCAAACATACCTCTTTCTATGGCTAAAGCGTTGCCCTCGCGTTGGTGCTGAAATCTTCAGATTTTTCTTTCTTTTTTATATTTATTATCATTTATGATATGTTCTGATACATTTTCGGTACTTTGTTTATTTCATTTAATTTGGACTACACTTTAAATTGTACATGCAAGATACTAGTATGCGAAAGTATAATTTTGACCACCAATTTCAGGCATCTAAGATATTTTACAAATTTTTGCTGTATTTCTATGAAGTATCTAAAATTTAGGCTGTTCTATAACCGCTTTAACACAAAAATTTAAAAA